TTTTAAACTTTTTTTTTTTAATAAAAATGGAAGATTCACTTTTGTCTAGCTTCTTTCATTGGACATTAAGGGAGATTCATCCACACTGTTACAAACAGTAGCTTGTTCTGCAATAATGCACAGGAAGGGTTTCATTGTATGAATAAAGCATTATATATTTCCCTTCTCTACTGCTGGTTTAGGTTGTTTCTAGTTGTTTGTTTGTTTTGCTGTTATGAATTGTGTTGCTATGAACATTCTTGGTTGGATATGAAATTTGATGAGCATGTTTGCATTCTGTTGGTATTTACCTAGAAGTGAAATTGCTACGTCATAAATATATTCAACTTTAGTAAATAGTACTATTTTCCCAGAGAAATAGTACTCCTTTACCATTTTTTGCTTGTTTGTTTTACTCGCACTCAGCCTTCCAATAAACATTAACATGAGTACCTCCTCCATGGACAAACACAACTGAAGACACAGAACTGAAAAGGAGGAAGGGACTTAGACACAGCACCCAGCCTCTGGTCCACAGTCCAGGGACACACAGTAAATGAATGACTCGATACCTTACAGGTGACAAAGTACGCCGATATATCTCATCTAACCCTCACAGAAAACACAGGAGTGAAGTCAGACATCTGGTCTCTCCTGTTCCTGGGAGGAAAGGAGCCTGCAGGGAGTTTCCCCAGGTCACATAGCTGAGCAGTGAGCAAATCAGAAATAGAACATAGGTGTTCAAACTCCTAATCTAGGGTTTACTAAAAGATTAAGCCCATCAGAAGCAACCAGAAATTCTACAAAAGCTGAAGGAGAAAGAGAAAGATCTGGGGTCTAAATTTAATAAGCTCTAAAAGGGAACTTAGGGACAGAGACTGACATCTCTAAAAGGAGAGATGAAACGAAATTTGTTAAATCTTCCAGCAGAAATGATATTAAAAAACATCAAGACCAACTTATTCAATATAAAAACTTATCTCTAGAAATTACTTTGAGGGGGGAAAAATAACTTCAAGCACCATCTAACGAAATATACTTTCCAATTACTAGCAATGCAACTAAAATTTACACTACATGCAAAAACTCCTCTAAAACATTCAATCTCTTATACCCTGAAGATTAAAAGAGATTTGTATCTGTGTAAATTTGAGTGGGGAGTGAGAGTATTAAAGAGAACTTCACCTGCATAGTTTGAGTTAAAAAATACATATATTTGCACAGGAACGGGCAAATGAAGGGTTGGGGAAAGACCCACACGTCTTGATGACTGCAAGAGCTTTGTTAACTCGGCACTTTACGGTCCCACGACTGTAAACCTACTTTTGCCCACCCCTGTATATTACTGATATAATTTAAAGTTAATGGTAAATATCAAAGTCATTCATGAGCTACTTAGAAGATAATATCTAAAGTTACTTTCATGTCTAAAATATTCTAGGATTCCACAGTGACCAGGGCTAAAATGAGTGAGGGACACCCACACGCTTTTAACATTTAAAACCAAAGTCTTCCTCCTTCTGCAACATCAGCAGCATGACAAAGCTGAGCAACCGAATATTTTAGTTGCCTTTTCAAAATCTTAACAGGTTAACTCATAACATGATGATTTAAAAGTTAATGCAACTGAATATATAATTGGAAAAAATGCCTGCGCCCGGCAAGCGCCTCCGACCCACGGCCAGGCAGCGCACGCGGGGATGTGAGCCCTTGCACTGGGAGCCCTTCCGTGCTGGCGTGCTGGTTCTTCCCAGGGCAAAGCGCCTGAGGTTTCTGTCAGTCTTCAAGACGTCTGTGACCTCCAGGAGGTAAACACAAATTTAAAATGTACTTTTCCTATTCACTGTAACAAACACGACCATTTTGTGAGCAAACCATACTGGGTAATACATGTTCTTACATCACAGTGACTCAGGATGTATAAAAGATGCTAGAACACACAGGTACTACGTATCTAAACAGTTTCCCCAATGGTAATAAATACTCATTTCTGTCTTACAGTATTAAGTCTGAATAGGATTCTTCCGAAAATAAAACAAAATTAAAATGCAGCACTGGTTTTACCCTGGTCTAATTGAGTGGACTTCCTAAGGAGAAAGAGCAGTGAAAGGGCACCTGTGTGCGTGTTTGACACGCTGCCAAACACGGTGTTTATGGAAAACTTCAGATGGAGCAAGGAGGCGCTCAGCCAACACAATCTACAGCTGTGAGACTTGGAACTTACAAGTGCCCGAACTCCAAAAGCAAAAGTGGAATTATGGGACAGACTTTGAAGCTTGTTTATGTGCAAATTCTTCCAGCAAGTAATTTTGTATTGCTCTATGCAGGTATATATTCTCTGATAAACACTAAAAATATTTTCTAACGCCAGACAAAAGGGTGAAAGGGAATCCCATCAGGTGTTGGTATCTACCCCCTCCCCACTGCCCACAATTACTTGTAAACAAAACTCATGAAGGCTAGGGTACAGTTTAAACTTTTCTCCCATCCTAACCCCTGAGGGCAACAGCTTGCTCCATTGGTTAACATGGGTCCTGAGAACAGATCAGCTCCTGGCTGGCTGGGAGAAACTGGAGGGGCTGCAGCGAGCATTATCAGAACCTCTTTGGAAAAGGCATATGGTTTGAGTATGCTCCATCACCCGCCGGTACACACCTAGTTGGCGCCTGAAATCCCCAGGGAAGACTATCAGTAGGTGAGCATGAATGCAGGACTGAGAAGACACCAGGCACCTTCTAAAGAAAGCTAAGTGCACTATGTAAGAAAGAACACCGGAGGGGATTAGGGGATCGGGGATGGAACAAAAAGGAAAAGGGACTCACAGACGCGGGCAACAGTGTGGTGACTGTGGGGCAGAGGGGGATGTAAGGGGGATAAATGGTAATGGGGGCAAAATGCAATTTAAAAAAGAAGAAGAAAGAGCGAACACTGGAGCCAGGGCTAAAGTTCTGAAGTTGGGAGATGATCTACGTACACAGGCAGGACATCCCACTCCCACCAAAGGTTCTGCTGTCTTCAAGTACAAGGCAGTGCAGTTTTATCTTATATACTACATTACTTCAGCCAAAAAGAAAATCAAACACCTTCAGCTATAGAGAATTGAATTTAATAAATAATCTACCTGGTTTTGGCACCTTGCTTAATCATTATAATTTTGAATTAAAAAAAACAATAAACAGATATGGAGCATTTATGTTCCTTCACAGAGGAGGTATTTCAGAGGCATCTCCAATTGAAATAATTAATTCTGTTTAGATGGGAGGGCCTGTGTGTTTCAGAATGAAATTGGCATATCATCTGTTCCAAAATCAGTTTAATCTCAGCTAACCTGGCAACTTCAACTAGAAATGGATTAACTGCTCGGGCTAGCATAATGAAAGTGCTATGCTCCTGGGTAGCACTCCAAAGCTGGTCTACACTATCCATACCATTAGCAATTAGAAGTCAACAATTAGGAATCCATGTGTACAGACTATAGCAAGCTTTTAAATTATAGAAATCTAGAAATCAGAACATATTTTCACTTGAGACATTTCTTGATGGTCTTTTTGCCAAATCATTCTTGCCTCAGTATATTCTGAAATGGAGTATATTATAGAAAGAATCTTCCAAGTTTGGTAAAATCCTTCACTATCTTGCTTGCTATGTCTCTTCGAGACACAAGGAAGGTAACACTCCAGTACTTCTGCTTTTTGAAAGGCGGTGTTACGCTGTATTTACTCTGGCTTTTCCCTCACAAACAGAAAGATGGCAATTGACATATATCAAGTATAATTCCTACCAGCACAGGCAGGAAACCAGCATCACACCCCAAGTCCCTCCTTTATGCTGTTACCTGCTCTAGTTCTGAAGGTCAAAGTTTCCAGTGCTGTGTCTGCACTTGTATTGAAATGTTTGGCATTAATAAAACAAAGAAGGAATTAATATATTTTTTTAATTGTAAGGGGCAGGGAAGGAATCTACAAAGGCGGATTTCACTTTCTAAGTAGCATTACATTGGTCTACATTAATAATTTTTCCAGCAGGCCTTCCATGACTTTACTTTGAATAATCGCAGCCTTTGTTCCTAAGATCCTCTTACTTGAGACATTTGATCCAAGTTTTAAAATCAGCAGCTAATGGACGTGGAGAAAAGTGTTGCTCACTAAGGCATATATTACATAGTCATCTCACAGTTCATTTCAAGGTTGCTACAAGCTGGATCACACATGTTTTCCAGCCAAACACTATTTAGATATGAAGCTGAATTTCCTGAGCCCTGACCACCTGATTTACTGCACGTCGCCACACCCCTGAGGGAAGCGGCCCCTCAACAGCACTGAAGCATGCCTCAAGACAATTCTTCAGGTTTTCACATAGGTGTGTTTCTCAAAGGTAAGTACAAGGTACCAAACAAGTTTATTCTTTTTCAAAGTCTCTGTACACAGCCTTTTAAAAAGAGTCTGCCTCCTTGCGCCCCACCTCCAAAAGATTGCAGGTAACTAAATTACCTGTATTACTAGTTCTATAATTAGTGACAGCCATTCTGATGAGATGGGATATGACAAGAAAACTGATAAAAATCAATTCATTAATTCATACCTACAAAGTCCTTATTCCAGGATATCGTCCCCAAAGAAATGGAGGGAAAAAAAGATTAGTAAAGGAAATACCTCACACTTCAACATGCTATATAAGGAAAGACGGCTGAAAAGAAATCTTGCAGGGAATTTTATCCCTTTGAACTTTTAAATAAACTCTTTTAAGTAAGATTATGCAAACTTACTAAAGACCGGTCCAGATTAGAGGGAAAAAATGCAACCCTTCTCCAAGTCAGTTCTGGAGGCTTTCTCCAGAGTTGTTAAGGTTTGTGTTGGGTAAAGAAAGACCTCCTAACAAACCAGCATTCTTTTCCACATGATCAGAGCTAATTGGCCCCCCTGCAGACTAAGTGACCAATCACATCAGCTTCAGCTGAAACCAGCCCCCACAACATTATAAACAGAGGAATGTGAACTGTAAAACCAGTCCAAGAAGAGAACCTACAAACCAGACTTGTAGAGTAAAATTACCTCATCAAAAAGGCCAACTTTGAAAGTTTCCTCAAGACCTACCTGTGCATACAGGCTGACCCAGCAAAAACAAACAAACAAACAACTGGTGAGTACACGAAATAATATTCTTCTTATTTCTTTCCTTAAAGGGGAACAGAGGAAGAAAATGACTGGCAAATAGGGACAGAGCTTGATATTGCCAATAGAGCTTTAAAACAAAGATAATTACCTACAGGGTCATACCTTAAGGTTCTTTATTCTTTTTCCTTAAATTTTAGAGATGGAGTAGCAGTCCTACTGAAAACATTACTGAAAATTTCTTCTTGTTTTATTGAATGTATACTAATTCTCCATTATAATACAGAAACAAATAGAAGGGAAAAACCTTTAAAAAAGTCAGTAACTTTTAACAAAATGTACCGTTTTCTTTTGAAAGGGATTAAAGAACCCCAAATGAGCATACAAAACAAATTACAAAAAGAAAATCTTTGTTTATATTTTTTTAATCCACGAAAAAAGTGATGAGTATCCTAATTTTAAATTTTGTTTTAAGCATGGATTAATGAAATTAGATGCTTCTGCAAATAAGGATTTAAAAGAATCTCTGAGCTTATGTAATACAGTTAGAACTCACACTGTTTGCCCTAATTATGGAGGGACAGGAGAGACAATTATTAAAACTATCCGATCTTAAAGTGTTTATACCAAATGTTGACAAATACATAGTAACACTGGAATCATTTAACATTTGTTGTTATAGTCTGTATCTGATCTGTTCAGTGTGAACTGCACTGCTACATTACAACATGGCAGTAAGAGACGGTTTTTAGAGCTGCGATCCAATGAGTAGAATGAATCCATTACTGTGACGACCAATGAAGCAGCCAAACTATCATTTGTATAAAGTAGTTTCTTCCACCAAACAGTTTATAAATGGGCAAAATTTTACAGCCCACACACAGAGATACAAGCAAACCTTCCCAAGCTCTAAGTCTACTTTCTTTTGGGATCAGTTGATGAGAATCATATAAATACAAACCAAGATAAATACAATAAAAACAAACAGAAACAAATTCACAGATACAGAGAACAAACTGATGGTTACCAGATGGGAGGCAGGTGGGGGAAATGGGCAAAAAAGGTGAAGGAGATTAAGAAGTACAAACGCCAGTGACAAAATAATCCATGGGGATATATTACATACAGCATAGGGAATATAGTTAATAATGTTGTAATAACAACGTGTGGTAGGTGACAGATGATTAAACCTATTGTGGTCATCATGTCATAAGGTTTAAAAACATCCGATCACTATGCTGTACAACTGAAACTGTAATACTGTATGTCAGCTTTAAAAAAACACACTTCTGTGCCTACAGTGATATGAAAATTATTTGGAAATATAATAGCATAAACACGTCTACCCATCAGACACTTTTACTTATTTTTTATCCTCACACAAGGACAGTTTTTCGCTGCTTTTAGAGAGAGAGGAAGGGGAGTAGAGAGAGGGAGAGGTGCAGGGAGAGGGAGAGAGAGAACGCTGATGTGAAAGAGAGACGTCGGCTTGGTTGCCTTCTCATAGGAATCAGATCCGTGACCTTGCAGTCCACAGGATGATGCCCCAACCAAGCCACACTGGCCAGGGGCCCCATCACGTACTTCTTAATTGGATGGAAAGGAAATCTACATATATCAGGCAACGATAATCTTTTAAACACCATATAAGCAGACACAACATTGTACAGAAAAAAACCACACAGAAAACCTTCGAGTTGAGAAACATGGCAATAAGTTTACAAACACGTAGGGTTTTAAGGTATTATTTAATTCCTTCTTCTCTTTCCTTTTTTGATATGAAGAAGCCTGGGAGGGGATTTGGTGGCTTGCCCACACTGACAAAGCTATGTAATCAGCAGAGTCAGGGCCTGGCCAGCTGATTCCCCAGCAAGTCTTCCTTACGCTAAACACAGTGGACCGTGTGAGTCCAAAGAAAGGAGCCATGCAGGTGGGGATCAGAGTCTTAACTTCTCTCAACTACTCCCCTCCCCAACACAATCGGAACAAGATCTAGCAAGGTTTTATACATAAAAAGATACTGCTTAGCTGCGCTGATATCAGCCTTTTAACTAAATTATTTAGCAGCAAGAGAAAAAGAATGAAATTGTAAAAGCCTAGACATGGGTGCTACAAGTAACGATCCTGAAAAGGCACAAATAAGAATAATTAATTTTGTCAGGTACAGTTGTAGAGCAAGGCCGTCAAACTCATTGTCACCGGGGGCCACAGCAGCCTTGCCATCGCCTTCAAAGGGCCGAATGTAACATTAGGACTGTATGAATGTAACTGCTCCTTTAACAGTTACGTGAGAGCTTGGGGCTGCCGCTGGGTAGAAACAGGTGTAGAAACAAGGTGCCACCGGCTAAAACAAGGTGGAGGGCCGGATTCGGCCTGAGGGCCTTGTGTTTGCCACCTGTGTTGTAGAAAAAGGATACCTCCCAGGTAATACATCTTAGAACTTAATGAAACAGGCTGAAAATCAAAATTAATCATGTAGCTTACCCCCTGAAAATTACTGTGAAACAATAAGCCATCAGTGGTCCTAGAGTGGAAGCAGCACGAGCGTGGAGGACCCTGGTGGGCACTCCCACACAGGCGGGGAGAAACAGTGAATGCCACGGACGGGGCAGAGCCGTGTGTGGCTCACAGCCAACTCTCCCTTTATTCTGTCACCCTTCTTCCTCTTCCAGGGCCTACATGTCTTTTTTAAAATTATGATTATAGTATTGCATTTTAAAAATTATTCTCTCATCTGGCAAAATACAAATTTGGGAAGGCTATTTAAGAATTCTCCTCTCCATATTTTGTTTTAATTTGACTGGTCTGTGGAATCCTAGATTGACTATGTAATAATTCTGATTGTACTAATCTTCAAATCTTGCAAAATGTATTCCTTAACTGAAAATCTATTTCTTGCCTACAAATCATAGGTCTGAACTTAAGCAAGCACTCCTGAAGAACAAATATTCTGTAGTGGCTCCTGAACAAAATTAGTCAAATAAAACTGTCATTCATGAAGGCTAACCAGGGTCAAGGAGGCAACATAGCACTAACTCTGCACCACAGACTCATCAGGGGTTTCACCACTACTTACTACACCTTTGTGATCTTAGCAAACTCACTGTGCCTCAGTTTCATCATCTATAAAGAGGGCGTAACAACGGTGCCTTTACTGTGAAAGTTAAAAGGAAAAAACCAGTATTAATAACAGTAAAGCAATACTTACTGAGGTTGCTCTGGCCAGGCACTGAGTTAATACAAGTGAAGTGTATGGTATGACTCCTAGCACATAACACACAATATATATTAACTAATATTTTTACCTGTTACTGTCATAAGAATCATGAGTTAACAATGATTTGAAACAGACACTTGAGACAGTTAGGGGGAAGGAAGAACACCTATTAAAGGTGCTAAAAATATCTGCTATCACAAATTATTTTGTGAATGCAATACCAACTATCTTGTGAAAGGCTAGTTCACCAAACTCTCTAAATAAACACCTTCCTATAGAAAAAAATTTTTTTTTACCAGCTGTGAAGTTCGCCAGACTTGGTTAATAATTCAAATAATCCAAAGCCTCTACTGCCTCGTGTAAATTTCTTTCATCTGCCTGATCCTCAGTGACTTCATCTGAAAAATGGGATATGTCTATCTTGCTCGGATACTAGAGATAATGCAATATAAATGCACTTAGCACAGTGCCTGTGAATATTTTGTTGTTGCTATTATTATTTCCAAAAGAACAGAGATCAGGTCTTGTAAACATTTAAAGAATCTAGCAAGATGAGTTATTAAATAGCTGTGCCAAGAAAAAAATACACTAAGTAAAACAACCTGTTAAATATAGCAAATTACAAAACAGTAATGGCTAGGTTTTTTATTAATTGCTTTGAGAGAGAGAGAGAAAGAGCAACACTGACTTGCTGTTCCACTTACTTATTCATTCAGTGGTTGGTTCTTGTATGTGCCCTGATGGGGGAATTAAATCTGCAACCTTGGCTTATTGGGACTACACTCTAACTAACTGAGCTAATCGGCCAGGGCCCGAAGTTTTTTTTTAAGTTTATAATATGAAACTGAAATGGCCATCTAATCTAAATAAATTATCCATCATTTCAGAGTCCCATCAATAACTCAAATCTGAAAAAAAAATGCAAGAGAATGTCTCTTATATCACCAATAATAACAAATTAGCCTCATGACGACAAAAGAGAAAGTGCATGCCCAGCCGGCCAATGTTCAAGTCCAACAACACAGGAAGGCAATCTCCCAAGTCCCTAGACACAGGCAGGGTCCAGCAAACCCAAGCAACAAGCTGGCTCTGCGTGCCCCAGCCCACTAATGCAGCGCTGTCCTTCAAATGGCGGGATGGGATATGCACTACTTCTAAGGGCACCTGCTTCTAAAGGAGGCAGCGAAGGAAAGAGTTAACTATAACTCTTATTACTGAATTATGGCAAAGAAGAAAGGAGCATTCAAGGAGCAAAGCAGCACTTTCCATTCCGTTCCTGGTAGCCTCTACACAAGTCTCAAGACTCCTCTGTCATATGTGAGGAGGGTCACACAGAAAACACACAGCACTATTTCTACTCACTACACAGAGAACAGGGTAATTGCCTTTTAAAAACTGCCACTTGATATACTAATTATTTTAGCTCATTAACCTTGAGTCTTTATCTTCCGGTTTATTTACTTTCAAAATTAATCTAGGAATCTCTACCTAGACTTTATTTTGCCAAGAAAATAATTATCTACCCCACAATCTAATCGGCATCTAGAATATTTAAGAAGAGTAGCAATCCATCAACCATGGAAGAAAAGAGTCCATGAAAAAGACCACCAAGTGACAAAAACAAATAAAACCTAATCCTAAAACTTTCAATACACTAACTAGAAAACATGTATTAGACTATGATGCTCTAAAAGCTTAATCTTGCCCCAGCACTAATGTTAGTGTCAAAACATTTAGTTTAACACTATGCTTCCAAGTGATTCCTGCTTATTTACACACTCCTTTTAATTATGAGTTTTCATCATTATAAACCATTAACCACAAACAGTCTGTATTTACACATAACGTTCAGGCAAGTCAATAGACACACGATGCCTGGACCTGTGCAAAAAGAGGCAGGGGTGTCAATAAGCCATGAACCATAACCCCAACCCTCAGGAATTTTTAAATATATCTGAAATGTTAAAATGCCAAACAGTATTTTAACAGTCATTCTAGGAAACAATAAGAGATATCCCACGATTAGCTATCAAGTGAATGACTTAAGAAAACGATGCCTTCTGTAAACAGAGGAGAGAGGCAGAGAGACCGGAAAAGCCTGTCCAACAGTCAGGAAAGCATTCCAAAGAAACTACAAAGTGAATGAGGTCTCAGAATTTATTCACATTAACTGTAAGTCTCTTGATTGCAGAGATTTACAGCCTGAGATGGATGGCAGTAATTGCAAAGTTATTGCTCCTCTCCTAACTCAGAGATACCGGAGGATGGTCACCAAGGATGGCCACAGCACACTTCAAATGGATGGTGCGCAAAGAGGTCTTGTGTATCTTCGAGACGCCTGGGGAATCCTGATGGACATGCGCTGGCGCTGGATGATGTTGGTCTTTTCTGCTTCTTTTGTTGTCCACTGGCTTGTCTTTGCAGTGCTCTGGTATGTGCTAGCTGAGATGAATGGTGACCTGGAACTAGACCATGACGTCCCACCTGAAAACCACACTATCTGTGTCAAGTACATCACCAGTTTCACGGCTGCGTTCTCCTTCTCCCTGGAGACACAACTCACAATTGGTTACGGTACCATGTTCCCCAGTGGTGACTGTCCGAGCGCAATCGCCCTACTTGCCATACAAATGCTCCTAGGCCTCATGCTGGAAGCTTTCATCACAGGTAACTGTTTTTGTTCTTTAAAAAAATTACGAATGTTTTGCAAAGGGTATGGTCAGTTATAAGCAACTGTGCTATTAAAATCATTTCTTTGCATTATCTGCAGGTAATGCCAGAGAGTGAAAAAAAGAGTCTAAGAACAAATGAAGACAGTCTATGAACAAATAGGAGAGATGATAAGAAACACGATTCTGTACTTAAATTTTACCTATTGAAACTTCTTAAGAATAAAAGGACCATTATGACACTAACTTTTAGCAACATCTTAATGGCCCCCCCAAAAAAGAAATATTTTTTCAGAGGTCTAAAAGAATTTTTCGGAGAAGCTAAATAGTTTGTTAAATGGATAAATACCAGCACCTATTTTCCTATTTTATCTAACAGAAGAATTTGATTTTTTTTAACGTGGGTAGAACTTTTTCCTCTGGGTTTACCTTTCAACATTCACTCAATACTAGTGAGCCCAGTGCTCCAAAGTCAGCCCTGTATGTACTCACATGTAAGTTTACACATTCTTAGCAAAACATTGCCATAAAGATGATGAAATTTTACTTACAAAGCGGTAGCACACAAGTAGGGCTGATGTGTTTTACGTAAGTGACACGCACGAGTGGCTCCACATCGTGCGACAAACGTCTACAACAAGAGTTCTTTCCCTGGGTCTGTCATTAGATGCAATTTACGGAATCTGGGGGCTTGGACAGGAAAAGCCTGCATCTTTTTTCACTAACTCATAACTGAAATGTGGTGTCTCCTTTTATTATAAATGTAGACAACAAAAAACAGCAGCATCAGGAACCCTTTAACTCGAACACAAACAGAAATCACGTACGCTCATGGCACACCACAGCACTTCAACACTACAGGACTAAACACACCGCCACGTTCTGTTCACATATTATTAGAGCACATATGGTCCTAGTAACACCAGTTTTAACAATATTCAACTGGATTTCAATATACTTGGCTTCCTTCTATGTATTTTATTTTTATGCATTTAAAGCATAATTCCATAGACCTGCCTGCCAACAAGATTTGTGGCACAAAAGCGGTTAAGAAGCCCTGACCCAGAGCTCTTGGGAACAAGGACGCACGTGAAAGGTGCGTTGAGATCACCTTAGAGCCAGAGTCGCCTTCTTCAAAAAAAGCACAGGGTGAGGCGTGGGGGAGTATGAATTTCAAAGTTAAAAAATTCTTCATTGTATCGACCCCAATGAAGAACTGGGGTCCTTCCCTTACCCCAAATCATTCTACTTTGAATCTAATCTCTATTTAGGCATGTAGTCTGCTTGCACCCAAACTGCACTTATTTTGTTACTTTTTTTAATAGGGCCAGGATACAGAAAATAACCATTCTTTGACTTTAAAACATGCTAGAGGATAAAGTTTTACATTTCTGTGTAACAACAAATTTTGCTTACCTACTTCTGAATTCATAATATTTAAATAAGAGTGTATGTACCCAATTCTTCAGGCAAATGAGACTACCGAAATTAACAAGTTCAATTCCTGATTCATTTCTAAAGCATGGTATCAAGAAATGTATAACTATCTGATATACCCTCCTCATTCGGAAAAGGTATTGACATGCAAAGTGTTCATACTAAAACAATTGAATGGTTTCTAATTTAGGCGCCTTTGTGGCGAAGATCGCCCGGCCAAAAAACCGAGCGTTCTCCATCCGCTTCACTGACTTGGCAGTCGTGGCTCACGTAGACGGCAAGCCTAACCTCATCTTCCAAGTGGCCAACACTCGACCTAGCCCTCTGACCAGTGTTCGGGTCGCAGCTGTCCTCTATCAGGAGAGAGAAAACGGAGCGCTCTACCAAACCAGCGTGGACTTCCACCTCGATGGCATCAGCTCTGAGGAATGTCCGTTCTTTATCTTCCCACTAACCTACTGCCACTCCATTACGCCTTCGAGTCCTCTGGCCACTCTGCTCCAGCACGAAAACCCTCCCCACTTTGAACTCGTGGTGTTCCTCTCAGCAATGCAGGAAGGCACTGGAGAAATATGCCAGAGGAGGACATCCTACCTGCCCTCTGAGATCATGTTACACCACTGTTTCGCCTCTCTGCTGACCCGAGGTTCCAAAGGTGAATATCAAATCAAGATGGAGAATTTTGACAAGACTATTCCTGAACTTCCCACTCCCCTGGTCTCTAAGCGCCCAAACAGGACTGAGCTGGACATCCGTATCAATGGACGAAGCATTGACAATTTTCAGATCTCTGAAACAGGACTGACAGAGTAAGATGTATCCACAGTGCCCTATTTTTTAATGTATTAAATATATCCAGCCAGTTACACAGCTACTTTTCCTTCATCATATCTCATGTTTTCTTTTTTTCCCCCCAACACTGATTACATCTCTCTGATTATATCATGCCTATGCCCATAAAAAATGGCTGAGCTAACAATACACATTCTGGAAATACAATATTCTACTTTACAGAGTTTGTATCTGTGGTTATCTGCTGAAATCAGTGCCTCTCAACATAGCAGAAATGCTGATGAATTTATGAAGATGTGGTTTGCGACCAACAATGAAGGTAAAATGGACAGTGAAATTTAACACAGTTGAACTCTAAGAAAATTAACCATAAATCTCTCATTTTCATCTGCAAGTTAAAGCAAGAGTTTAGTTTCAAACTGAGCTCCCTAGGTAGATAATGATTTCACAATATTTAGTGAACATCCTTTTAAAACTGTTATTTTTTTTTCAAGACAACAAAGATCATTCCTTTGGTTCTTTATACTACAAAACTGGGGTAAGTAATACCCCCTTAATTTTTAACAGCTAAGAACAATACTTCACAAGGAAAACAGCAAAGTATAGGTTTATGCATAACTTCAAAAGCATTTCAACATGACACCCAAACACATGGTCATGTATTTGTGGCAGAACATGATCAGAGCACATAAGAAAAGCTCCAGCCCAATGGAACCTGTGGTAGTCCTTTGGGCAAGGAGATACCAAGTTATAGCTACATTAAAGCTACCCTGCACAGTAATCAAATAGCAATATAAAATGTATCATCGACTGCTCATTAAATGGCTTGCAACCTAAGTAAAAACATTCCCTTCCTACCTACAAGCCATTCAATAGTACTAAAAAAAATAGCTATAAGTTACAAATGCAAACATATTTAAGTTTTTACAGATATAAAGGTTTAGTTAGATATAATTCAACAAGGAAAAAATCTCCAATAGATAAAGCAAAAAATAATTAGGCAATGAAATATTTTCAAACCCAAATTCCTGTTTCTAACTTCAAATAGTTTTTTCTATAAACACAAAATGAGTGTTTATTCACCAGTAGGAGGTTGGACTACATGAATCTACTATTTCTTTCCAAATCCAGTATCTGCTGAAAATTCTGCTTTCTGCACTTCAATTTTTACTCTATGGATACTAAGATGAACCCTTTCCTTTACACATCCAGTTTAAGACAGTTTAAGACTATCCTTTGTATACTTCTCATTTCAATAAAAAAAATAAAACTGTCCTCAAACGAAACAAGAACCAAGTAAGTCACCCTGTCAATTTTCAATTGGATTTGTGGTTGTTCTTTTTTTCTGAAATTTCCCGTATTCAGGTTTAGTGGGAAAAGTGAAAGATTAGCCCTCCCCACTGTGATGACCCGCGCAGGAACCACCACTGGAAATGAATACTAGCTGAGGAAAAGCAAGCAGTTGTGAAGACAGCAATCATAGTTTTCTACTCTTTGACCAAAAGGAAAAGAAATTAAGAAGAACTCTCAAGCTGTCTAAGACTGGTAATAGCAGAAGAATGTCAAGGACACAGAAACTTAACTGCTGTGAACCTGCTTTTTGCAAGTCTTCTTACTTTAAGTACTACCCAGACCAACAGGTATTTTTGACCCAAAACTGTTGTAACACGTGGGCCGCAGTAATTCTCATTTCTACAATAAAGTAACAAGATTCATCTAACCTGTGAAAATAAAAGTTGTCTCAAGATTTACATGGCATGTTTTTTCCTAAGAGCTCTCTGTCCCTTGCACAGATCACAATCTGACAGTTAAGTGCAGTGGCCCAAACCGACACAGCACAGGAGCGAGCAAGCCCTGGGGTCTACGCCACCCTACAGACGCGGCGCGTTCCCCACGCTAGTGCACTGTTCCCATGCTAACTTCACATCCGACAGGTAGATGTGACTTTGCCCCGCACCTACCCCTCAAACACTCTCTGTAGGTATGCTAATACTGTTTTTAAAATGTTTCAAACATAGACAACTAAAAAAATAAAAAACTTTTGGCTAGGGCAGCAATTTTCAACCTTTCTCCTATCATGGCACATGTAAACTAATTACTAAAATTCTGCAGCACACCAAAATATATTATTTTTTTGCTGATCTGACCCAAAAAATAGGTATAATTTTGATTCATTCACACAAACGGCTACTGTTGGGTTGACTGTTGTCATTTTTTTGTTGGACAATCTGAGGGAAAAGAGGTCAGTGTCCCTGACTAAATAGTCAGGTACTGCCTGTTTTAAAAACTCTTGCAGCACACCCTGGCTGGAGTGGCTTGGTTGGCTGGCACGTCATCCGTAAACCAAAAGGCTGCAGGCTTGGTTTCCAGTCAGGGCACGAGCCTAGGAGGGGGTTCAGTCCCTGGCTGGGGCGCACAGAGGCAACCTGTAGATGTCACTGGTCTAGGGCGTGAAAGCTTCCAAAAGCACTGTTCGCATGTCTTTCCCTTCACAGAATCACAGCTTCTGTGCTAAGAACTAAGTTTTCTGCAAAGACACCATTACCCTCTCAGGAGAAGGGAGTGCGAAGAGAAAGAGGCAGGGAATTGTTGAGAGGTGGGAATGGCAGCTCTTATTCCTGGCTGCACAGCTCACTCACCCGGGCCACCCCGCAGCTCAGTGATGTGCCTCGGACACATTGCCAGGAAGACCCTGTCAGACCGAACGTAAGAAGTGCTTCTGCAAACTGGTACAGATATCGGGACAGCGCCCACAAACTGACGACAAGCAGTTACAAAAAACCGTGAGGCCCAGTTTTATTTCCAACTGCCAGCAGCAGCCTAATAACCAAAAACTACTTTCTGTCTGCTTCAAAGTATTTCATACCAAATGCACTAACTGGTGTCACACAGGCCTGGTATCATCTGAACAATTTCTTATTTTTTAATGATCTTTTAATTTCATCCTCACAGAATCACAGTACTACAAGATGATTGCTGGAACTGATCTCCCCCTATGGCACAATCAATTCCCACTGATAGGAACTTCATTATCACAGACCTCTTTCCACATTCTCCCATGTGTGTTCACAGGGCTTATGCCGGATTTTACCCAGGTATTGCTATGTCCACCCATTTTTCTCCATGGAAGAAGCCAATGCATGATGAGAACCACCTCCAATTTTAAAAAGAACAAATCATTCTGCAATATTCTGTACTCCAATTATCTTAACTGAACATCGTAGGACATCTCACAATTGATCACGACATCAGTGTCCCAACAAACTAGTGTTAGTACTGCTGTTCCCGAACAGTGTAAGTCACAATTATAAGCAATTTTTAAATCTACAGTAATTTCAAGTGTTATTACTTCCAAAAAGAGCTCAAAACCATTAGCACAATGAGTAGCCTCAAAGTGAGCATCTTATCAAAGAGCATTCAGTAAAAGCCACTATGACATATTTGAATATGCATGTGTAGCACTTGCCCTAATACTTGAGTAGGAAAAACTTTCTTAATATTCTTAACTACTTCGCATCAATTTAGTTTTATGGAACTTGCCTTTAAAAAAATATACCTTTGCTTTGCTTTTGCAAAGAAAAACCTATATTCTTAACAGAGGGTGACTGGGAAAATTACCCTATTGCCTTAGTGAGAGTTAAAATAGGAGAAAGGCAAATCATGGTGTAAAGGAACTTCACACTCATCTCACCCAAACGACGGAGGGTGACGACAGTTGAAATCAGGCTAGTCCCGTGACAGGGAACTTGCCACTGGGCAGCCCAAGTCATTTTCAGATAACTCCGATTATTAGATCTTTTAAAGACTGGGTCAAGAATCTGCCTCCTTAAACTTGTCCTTACGACTCATAAAGATCAAGTCAAATTCCTCTTTCACATGACTGTTATGCAAATATTTGCAGAGAGTGACCCTATAAACTCTCTTCTCCTCTCCGCCCCGCCCACGATCTAGTCTCCTGCGTGAACAGACCCACTTCCTTCATGCACTCCGAGCCACAGGGCTTCACGTGCCCAAGCACCCTGCTCCGATGTGTGCATCCTTTCGAGGTGCGGCTCCAGGACCGAACGCAGCACTGAAGCTCTCCTGTGACTACATCCAAGAGTGGGCCTCTCTACCACCTGACTCCCTGAGGACACGAGTTCCGATAAACGCTGCCCGTGGACACTGAACTGGCGCTGCTGCTGAACATTAAGCAGGGCCAGCTGAGGGCCTACGCCTTCCCCCCAGAAGCTGCTATCACACAATCACTCCATACGTTAAACCGGAGGGTTTACTCGTGTGAGGCTGCATTTTCTGCTGTTACATTTCCATCTGATTACCTCTGGTCTCTTGTTCCACCTTAATTCTGATCCCAAGTCCTAGATGCTACTCTCTGCAGCTAGCCCTCCAGACATAAATGACTTAAAAATGATCGTACAGCAACACTGTCATCCAGTGAAGAGGAATAATTATTTAGCGCCTAGCACAAGGCCTATCATATGAGTAGGAATTCAATAATCATTGAATGAATCAATGAAGTCGCATATTCTTATTTAACCCTAAAAATTCTGTAAAGCATTATCACCTCCATTTATTGTGAGACTCCTGAACACCCAAGAGCTTAGACTGCTGGTGATCTTCTGATTCCAAACGCTGCGCTCCTTACTCATTAACTCTCTGTCTTCACTGAGAAAAGTGCTGAATCAAAGACAGGAGCAGAGGTCCCGAGAAATCTCCCAAGATAGTCCTTATCCGATTGTCCACAATATGAGTACAGCCATTTAACTAGCGATAAGTCATGTACCCAAGTCTGTTCAAAAATTCATGCTACATTCATTTAATGACTTCTATTTATAGTCCTAGTGCCATGATAAATGAGAAATTTAAGTAACTGACATGTTAAAATGAGTTTGATATGGAAACAGTGATACAGAAGTGACCTTATGACATTATAACTACTTAGTTTTTAAAAAACAATCTGCAAACCAATCTGTGAATATTTACGTATTTAACATACATTTTGAGAAATGTTTACCTTTATCAGAATCATGTTCTGGAGAACTTGCCTGGTATTTCTAGGAATTTGGGATTTGTATAGTAATTTTCATAACTGCAATGTTACTATGATTTGGAATTTTTTTCTCTGAGATATTAATAATACCTATAGCAGTTTATAAGGTAGTACCTTTAGTCAGAGTCCCTCTTAACATTACAGATCATTAACATAAACTACGATTAATTCACCATAAACACTGAAATTCTGTTCTCTATGTTTTAATTCAGTGGCTACATTAACTATAGCTTATTTTGACTGCTCATTTAAAAACAAGGAAAAAAGGTTATACATCAAAAAGACGAAATAAATGACCAAAGGAAGAACATTCACAGTGTAAGCTCTGCTCTTGTACACAAAAGCCAACATTCTAGCATTCTATTTCTTCTCACCAATAAAATGCTATTTACCCTGGAAAAGAAGTTAACAAACAGCCTGGTTCCTAACTTGAAACTTCCGTTCACAAGACAAGCTTCACAAAGAACACATGCCTTGCAGAGAACACACAGACCTAAAAAGTAAAATCAAGTAAATCTTCATGGTGGTATGCCTAAGTCCTGGATTCATGCAACAGAGCCCTCATATAGCCCCGGAATTCCCAGTGCAACAATGCTACATCCCCATCTACTGGAGAGGTACAGGTAACTGAGTGAATGCCCAGTAAGTGTATCCTTATGTGAAAGCCTTGTTAAAAACTAGTATCATGGAAGTCCAGATAAAAATACTTCAAAACAGTAAGAAAGCCTTACCTACGTCTTTTCGTCCTGGTTTTTCAAAACGTCTGTCACCCCTAGAAAAAAATAAGTTTCAAACAAGACTTGAGAGTAATATATAGATTTCCCATCCATGACACACACTTTCCTATCTTTCTTTAATAGCACTTCTTTATTTTTCAAATTATAAAATAAATGGTTATTACTTAACATTTTGAAAACGCAGAAAAGCAAATATGAAAACAAAAATGTGCACCATCTCACACACCAAAAGCTGGCTTCCAACCCAGAAATGTTGTATGTTTAACTAGATACATTTTTTAATTAGGCATATACCGTATTTTTCGGACGATAACACGCACTCCCCCCCGCGGCCCCAAATTTAGGGAAAATAATGGTTGTTAATGCTGCTGTTGAGTTCTGTTTACATTTACATTGGTGAAATATTTTGTTATTTACGTTATTAAATATTTTACCACATTTTTTGCTTCAAAATAATTTTTTCCTATTTTTCTCCTCTAAAACCTAGGTGCGTTTTATGGTCCAACAAATATGGTACTTATTTTAAATACATGCTGCATACAGTTATTAAATGTGTTTAATGATGTGTTTTCTCACATCATTAAATATTTTCAAAATCACCCTAACTTTAATCATTATATAGAATTTTATTGTGTGGGTCACTATTATATAAGAAACCTTGCTGACATTAAGCTGTTTGGCTTGCTTCTGATTATTTTAGATTATAAATATCATCGGGGTTGGACATCTCTGCACATATACCTTTGTGCAGCTGTCCTTGCTCATCTTCATCGACCTCCTATAATCTCACAGACAATATAAAGATGCTTTGATTTACAGCAACAAATGAAATAATAATATCAACGCTTCCCACTGAATGCTCATCAAATAGTAAATCTAATTAACTATTAAATATTCAAGCAGGCACTAACATATTAATCTATTTATCTGA